TTTATTGATTGGAGGCGACAGTGAATTATTTCGCCAAGTCCCCGATTTGCTGCTTCCCCGGTTGATTCGCAAAACCTTCGGCTGAAACTCAGCTCACCGAGGGTGCCTTCTCGAGGTGACCCATCCCAGATTGTTACAGCTCAGGTATTTATTATATCAAATAGGTAATCATGACACATTAAAGTCAGTGTAACCTGCAGGTTTGCTAAATGGATGGCTAGCAAGGAGACAATCCAGCTTTTGTCAGCCACCGTAAACCTTCCAGTGTTCGGCAGCCACGCTGGAAGGGCGTGTGATGACTTCCTACTCTTTATGATGGGGTGGGACAGTTTTGTACCCCAAAAACCCTCCGAGGGGGCCCACACAGACTATCTAAAGCGCCCTTAAACACAGATCATTAAGTCAGAAGCACCTAGAAATCGACTCCAGTTCTGAATAACACAGATGTTCAATGGAGGACATCTCCATTGAACATCTGGAGATATTCAATGGGGGAGGCCAGGTCTTCTGACTTAAAAGGTGAATCACCATTCCAAAGCTGCAACCCACTTTTTTTTGGAGGGGGGTAAGGGCTGTCAGAAGAGGGGTCTGAGAGGGCTGAAACAGCCTTCGGGAGCCGTCTCTGTTGAACCGCTAACTCGGTATTCCTTCACCCAACCCTGGTTTATGATGTGGGTTCAAGAATCCATCTGATGCTTCAAGAAGACAGTTGTCCATGGCATCACAACTGGGATTTGAAGGTTGAAGCCAAGATGGAAACAATCCCTTATTCTTAGCCATTGGCATCACCTTTGTTATGGAATTTAAGGATTGGGAAAGCACGTGGGAGTTAGGTTGAGCATGATGCTGATAAGGGATGCTCCAAACACAGAGAGTAAGGTAAGAAGAGGGAATTGCTTTTACGCGGTGGAGGCAGCCGGTCTCGGTTCAAGGCAGTGCCGTCGTTCCCCATCTAACAAGCCAATCGGATTGCGCATCATTAAACGTTGGCTATGATTTTGTTGGCCTTTAGTGTTCTTGACACTAACTCTGCCTAAGGACGGCAGAGGTAATGTATGAAATGGGCTGCGTATGGGTTTAATCAGAGTAGGGTGGGCAGCTACCATACATGCCCTCTGGATGTTTTAAGACTACTATTCCCAGCATTCCCTTTCCCTCCTTACTTAGGATAGCTAGGGCTGATGGGAGTTGTAGTTCATAACCATCTGGAGGGCCACTTTCCTATCCAGAGCAACAGGACGGCAGTCCTTTACTTCCTCTGAAAAGACCAAGCTCTGTGGTTTAAGAATGCCATTAGAGTGTCAACTAGACCCAACCTTGAGTCTCCAGATATTCTTGGACTAAAACTCCCAGAAGCCTTCACCCCAAGCTGTGCTGGCCAGGATTTCTGGGAGTTGTAGTCCAATAACATCTGGGGATCCAGAGTTCAGAGCCACTCTTGTAAAGCCCCAGGGGCTGGTTTTATTTCCTAACAGTTCATCTCTGGGGAACAAAACACCATCCAAGACTTCCACATCTCTTTCAAGGATTGTTGGTTGAAATTTGATTCTGGAGTTTGGAAGCCGTCCCCGGGCGATATCAGACTTTGGGAACTTTCTTTGATCCCTGGTCCTGTTTAAAAGCCGGCCGGACATAAAAAATGTTTTCCACGTCATCAACACCAAAGTTGGTGCGATTTATCTTTTTTAAAAAAACAAACAAACAAGACACCTGTAAAAAGGGAGAGCATCTTTGAAATGATGATTCATTTATACAACACCGGCTTCATAGGCTTGTCATTACACCGTACCCAGTAATTTAATTGAAAGAGAAATAGATATAGATGTATGCATAGCTCAGAAGGAAATATTGATAAATGGGAAGGTGTGCTGGCAAGATTTATTTGTAGAAAATATATATATATATAATATATTGATGTGGAAATCCATTTCATTATGCAAAAGTAGCTGCAGAGGAG